CCTGCTGAAATTCATGCGGTCTGTACTCAAGCTCTGACTGAGTTTTTGAGATGTGGTTAGTGAAGCAACCGATTTGCATTTACGGAGTGGCGAATTTCACGAGTCAGATTGGTTCAAGTGAAGGATAATAATTACTTAGGGGGTGCATTGGTGCACTGTCTGACTGTTCATTTGGTTTTGTCGTGGAAGAGAAAAAAAAGAAACATTTCTGTTTTTGGATGGCAATGCAACGATCTCAAGACCCAAGAACTGATCTTGGTGAGCTGAAAACCCAGATTTTGAAGAAGATTGGGGTTGAAAAATCTAGAAGGTACTTTTATTACTTGAGCAGGTTTCTGAGTCAGAAGCTTACTAAGAGTGAGTTTGATAAGTTGTGTCACCGGCTGTTAGGGAGGGAGAATGTTTCTCTACACAACCAGTTGATCCGTTCGATTTTGAGAAATTCGTCCCTGGCCAAGTTCCCACCGCCAGCTCATGAAGCGGGTTACCCTGCTAAATCTTTGGTAAAAACTGTTCAGAGTTCTAATAGAGAAGAACATGGCGGATCTTTAATCCCTAACCATAATCAAAACGATCCTGCATGTCCAAATGGGATTTTGCCCATGTCCCCACGAAAGGTTAGGTCTGTAGTGCGTGACAGGAAGATCAGGGACAGGTCTAGTCCTCTAGGCCAAAATGGGAAGGTCGAAAGTCTGTTGCATCAGCCCATGTGTAGAGAAGACAACAACGGTACCATCAATGTGGAAAATGGGGATTTGGGTCGTTTTGAGCATCATAGAGCAAGCCAACTTGACGATGAAAGAGATGGTTCATTTCTCTGTCCTGCTATGTATTTTCGGACACAAAAAAAATTCTGTCACACGTTCTATAATTTGGTCCGTTAATGATTTGTGTGGACAAGTCTAAACTCATGATTTTTTCTTTGTTTTCTCGTCTTATTAAAAGGTGGGAAAAGTCACGTTTTCGTAGAAGATTTGAAGAGGAAGAGAAGCAAGCTAGCCTAAATCTCTCGAGAAGTCCTCTAACTGCACCTCTAGGAATTCCATTTTGTTCGGCTAGTGTTGGTGGAGCCTGCAGAACTGTTCACATCTCTACCTGTCCAGACCTAACTAGTTGTTATGACAATGGTGGGTTATCTGATACAGAGATGCTGAGAAAACGGATGGAAAATATTGCAGTAGCACAGGGTCTTGGAGGAGTTTCAATGGAGTGTGCCAATATGTTGAGTAACATGTTGGACGTGTACCTGAAGAAGCTGATAAAATCATGCGTAGACTTGGTTGGAGCTAGGTCCACGAATGGAAATCTCGGGAAACAAGCTTTAGACATGCAGCAGGTTCAAAACAGGGTTGTAAATGGAATGTGGCAGCGTAATAATTTGCAATTGCAATATAGCAACGGGCTTTTAGACACAACACAAGATCAACATTCAGTGTCTCTGCTCGATTTTAGAGTTGCAATGGAGTTAGATCCACACCAACTTGGCGAAGACTGGCCATTGCTGCGGGAAAGAATTTGCATGCGTTTGTTCGAGGAACGAGAATTTGGGGTGTGAAGGAATCTTTGTATGTTGGTTTTACAAAGTCAGCCTATTCTTGATTCGGTGACTGAATTTTTTATGAATGACTGATTCATAACTTTCTGCATCCGTAATGGACCAGATGGCTCCCCTCCCCTGCATACTCTGTTAAGATGAAGTTATGAGTTCGGAGCTGAAAAAAACACATTCCCGTCTGGCAGCAACAGACTTGGGACAGGCTAGTAGATTATTTTAGACTGCAAACCCAAGCTGAACATAGCTAATACGTGCCATCGGTTCCAATGTTGTAAGATTAGCAGTCACTGGCCATCCATCCCTCTGTCTCAGCCAATAATGAGACCTGAGAAAGTTTTGCAGGGTGAAAGGTACAATGCAACCATGTAATAGCTGCAGTATTGCTCTGTGTGTAACCTAGTCTTAGAATTTTTTAGGGTTCATATCTTAATAACACTTTGACATCCACTTGACATTGCATTTTTGTTTTATTAATGGAAGAGTTATTTTCAATGTCTTCAAGGAATTGGCATACCTTGCATTCAAGTGGTAGTTTGTTCTGTTTCTTGTTCCTGAGGAGTCTCATTTCAAGTTTCCGTTTATATATGTTTCTTAAACCACTCACTATTGCCCGAAGTTGTGACCCCTCATGCATGAAGACATTGGCAGAAAATGAAGAACACTGTCAGATTATCGACCAGGTGACTTTTAACTGACCGCCAAAGAAAAGTATCTGCATATCATTTTTTGATATGAAACTTGTGTTGTCTCTCTTGATCGATTTCTCTTCTCAGAATGTGTTATGCCTGCTACTTTCGTTTATGTCTACAATGTAAGCAAGTGCATCATTGCCCTGTAAGCCACTGTTAAAGACACTAAGCAGGTGAACTCAAATTCAACCCATGAATTGAAGGATCATGGAGCTTAACAAATATAGCTTCAGTGCAGTTTTAGAGGTGCCATTTTTTGGCAAGTATCAAGCTCGGAGCTGCAGGCTACTCTGTGGACAGGGGGGCTATGTTTTGGTAAGTTGTTCTTGGACTTCTTCATAGCATACAAACGTCTTTGATGATCTTCTAAGATATGTGACTTTTATTTAGTTTCCTTTTGATGTGTTTCCTTGTTAGAGTATACACTAAGGTTTACTGTTATGGTTCTGTAGCTCTATATAAAAGGACGATTTCCCGAATAATCAAGTATCAGAGAAGTTTGGTCATATTTTGGAGGTATTTCGATCCTCGAAACTCCAAAGTTAGGAGATTCATCAGTCTCTCAAAGTACCAGCAAACACTTTCCAGTATAATCTGATCTCGGGTTATACCATATCCTTATGCTTGTGTTGTGACTAAGGAGCTTGTGAATTTGTTTGAACGCTAATATTTAGCTTCAGCAATGGAGACATATCGAAAACTTGTCTGGTTCGTGTTTCTTCCTGTTCTTGTCTTCTTCAGTTATTATTGCAGATGTTTTATCTCATTTGTCAAAGGCCGACTTGGCTTAGGGGTAAAACCATTTACCTTCTAAGGTCGTGGGTTCGAATCCACCTCCCTACATTGAAATGTAGGGTTCAATGTAGGATAAGGTGGCCTAGTATATTCCCTTCCCCAACACCCCCACTAGATAGGGATACGAAATGGGTTGGTCCTTTTTTTTTTATCTCATTTGTCTGAATTCTTCTTTAATTGGTTTTTTCAGTTTCAGAAGAGCAGAAGATTCCTTGGCCAATATGCGAGGTTAATCGTATACTGTGGTTACTTGCCTTGACGGCCAAGTCAACACCTTACCCTCCATCTTCTGGAGTTCACTGCACAAAACTTGAGGTGTTTGGTTATTCGTAGACCTGGAATTGGCTCCATCGCAACAACACTGATGGATTTTCAGATGGTTAAATGCCAAAAGAATCAATATTTGCTGCTTTCAACAGTTTTCCTGGGGATCCATATGATTATTTTTGTTCTTACAGATCACAGGTACCCCTGGTTCTATGCACATCAACAAGAAATGGGCAAAGAGACATTGTGACTCCAATGTTACAACATGTCATAAATTCTCACTCTGGAATGTATCATCAAGAATATGTGCAACACAGGAGAGATTTTGTTGTTACAAAGAAGGGATAATGCCACTATATGTATAGATCCATGGCTTCATTGAAACTCCAGACTGCGAGGAGGAAGACGACGACAACGGCAGTTGTTGAGAAGAGGGTTATGCAGAGGCTCTGCTCATAGGGCGCCATATCTTTCAGTCTCAGCCATTCATCTCCTACTGTATACTCCTCCTGTGGATCACATAGACCATAACTTCACGTAAAGCAAAAGAAGTACAAATAAATGACGCTAGATTCACTTTGTATATTGCCAGGTTTCATTTTTGCCATTTGTGAAAAAAATGGCCTAGAAAGTCTGTGGTCACAGCTATGAAAAATGACAATGAGATGCTGCATTTCACATCATCATTGCATATATCCACAAGGTGTAATTAATTATATGTTTGTTTTCATGCATTTTGCTTCTTGGGTGCAGTGTTCATTGAACCTATCCTCCCTTCCAACTGGTGAGAGCCCAACTCCTGGGAAACCCTGGAACAGTTCCAAGGGGACAGGAGAATCAAGATTGGCTGCAGGTCAATGTTATGTCGTGTTTGTCCATCTGGCTTTCCGTTGGAAAAGAGACCAAGTCAGAAACACGAGAGAGTCCATTAGAGGAAAGAATATAATATTTTCATTTTTTCATGAACTGTGTTTGTAATATCTGCGTGGTTGTGTGTGTATATATATCAAATTTGATAGATGAATTTTTTACCATCTTGTTTAGAATCAATTGTAACTGTATTTAGAATTAATTATAAAGTCGTAATAACAAAGTTGTTTTTGTGCGGATAAATATTGCGTACCAAGTGGATCATTTGAGTAAAATCACATGTTTAGCCTGCTGTTGCTAAACCCTTGACTTCGCGAATCGATTCCCGACCTTCCGATCCATTTCCGACGAAAACCGTTTCCCGATAGTTGGAATTGAGAAAAAACCCTTGTTACGGTTTGGGGAAAAGGGAGGATTTTTAGATCATTGATTTTTTTAGTAGTAGGAAAGAGATGGCGTGTAGAGGGAAGGAGATGATGAAGAAGGTGATGAAGGTGGTGGGAGAGGAGAATTTGGCACCTGGGCTCAAAGAGAAGCTCAAGAATTGCGTTCCCGACAGAAAAATCGTGTTGAACAGAGCCTAACGCGGCCTCTTCGCCGGCCGTCATATCCAGTTCGGCAACCGTGTCAGCGAGGATGGTGGCGACAAGTCTCTCTCTCTCTATAAATCTGTTTTGATTTGTATATGTTTATCTAGATGTTCTTGATGCGAATGTCCTGTGGGTATAAGGTCGCTGCGTCTGCTCTCTGATTAGTGGTTTTTTTTTGGAATAAAGCTGAGAAATTATACTCTTATCGATGGCTAGCTCGGCTGCTCCTCTGGATTTTGGTCAAATCTGAGTTTCTGTCTTGAACTGCTTGTTAGCTGATTAAGATTCGGTGTCCTGTCTTCTCTTCAATGCTTCGATACATTATTTCTGGTTAGGCTTCGATTCTCGCGGCTCTATCATTGCTTTTCTTCCAAAAAAATTGTCCTTTTTGACGGTTAGCTTGGATGCTTGGATCTGGGTTTGTTTTGAACTGTTTGTTAGCTTCGAAAATGTGGCTGATTAAGATTCTATTCGGTGTGTATCCAATTCAGTGCCTTGATTACCTTTCTGGGTCGTGTTTAGTCCCCCAGCTTCTGGGGCATGACGTCATTTCTGTAGGAGTTTTTTACTCAAATGAACCATTTGGGTGGCACCTATTTCACGTCCTACACCACAAAAAACATAATACATTAAATTTTTTTTAAAGACGAAATTACCCTTAATGAATACACGATATTTATCTGTTCGAAAACAACTTCGTTATTACGACTTCGTAATTAATTCTAAATATAGTTACAATTGATTCTAAAATAGGTGTATGTCTTATTTTAGTGGTATATCAGTTATATGTTAGTCGTAATAAGGTCGCAAAAAAAAAAAAAAAAAGGTATTTCGGACTTTTTCAACCGAAAAGTAGGTTAAAATTGAAAAAAAAAATTCGTTTTTTTCCGGTGGTGTACGTTGAAATAGCTGCGACCCAAGTGGGTGAATTGCAAAAATGACTTTAAATGTCATTTTTACTTCATGGCATGACCTCCCTTCTTTTTTTTTTAAACCAACATCATTTCATAACCTCATAATTGTATCTTTCCAAAAATATCCTTTTTTTTTATTTAATATTTTCATTTTAAAAAAATATTTCAACCCTCTCTCCTCTTCCAGCTCTCTCTCTCTCACTCTCCATCCGCATATATCGAACAAACTACATTCTCTTCTCGCCCATTCTCTGATCTTTAAGTTCTCTTCATTTCCAATCTATTTTTCAACTAATTTGTTGTGAAAAAACAATATTAAGTTTGGACATTTCATCGATTACACACAAATCTTAATAATAGATAAATATTGTTTCAAAAATTCGTTATTAAATTTGGATTTGTGATTTGTTGTTTTGTTATCTTTATATTTAATCTAGATGATACAGATGAAGCAAATATGATATATGCATCAACAATACCATGATTCACGTTATTCTAACTAGTCGAAATCGTTAAATACGTGAAATTCGTCAAAATGGGAAAATTCGAAAAACTGGTCATACATACGTGTCAGAATGGTCAAACTGGTCGTACTTCTAACTCGTCATACTTTTCAAATTGGTTAAACTGGTTATACTCGCAAAATTTGTAACGTTGATCATAATCATCAAAGTGGTCAAACTGATCATACTCATTAAATTTATGATATGATATGATTATTACTATGTTAACACTTTTAAAACGATGGATTATGCGATTTCGAACAGGTCTGACCGTCTGACCAATGTATGACCGTCTGACCGTATGACCGTCTGACCATTTGAGTACGATAAAAAAGGTCTAAATTAAATTTAAACTATTTAAAAAGTTGTATAGGGGTTATAAAAATACTACTGCATCGTTTTTTAGTTCTAATGTGTTACACAAACACTACTAGTACTTTAGGTCTTCTTTGGAAAGAGTTATATTGACATGCAAAAAAGGTGCTTAATCCGTATTGCTATGACCAATTTCAACTTGAGAAATCTATCATACGATATGATTATTACAATGTTAACACTTTTAAAACGATGAATCGTATAATTTTGAACAGGTCTGACCAAGGTTTGACCGTATGACCGTCTGACCATTTGGGTACGAAAAAGAAAGTTCTAAATTAAATTTAAACTATTTAAAAAGTTGTATAGGGGTTATAAGATTACTTTTGCATCGTTTTGGAGTTCTAATTTCACGTAAAAAAAATCTCTCGACATAAGTCAATTGGACTCAATATGTTACATAAACACTACTATTACTTTATGTCTATGTGGAATGAGTTGTTGATGACATTGTTGTTTTTGGCACCATAAGCAAAATCAGATCGGTTTGACCGATGTGCCATTTCGATAGCCAAAATTTCTCTGAGGATTTTCATCAAACACTTTCCATGCATTCTCAAATTCTTCAACTTTGGTGTGTCGGATCTCGTTCTAGAGGAAAAGTTTGACGAGTGTAAGCTTAAATGATATTGTTCCTTCGAATCGAATCGAAGCGAAACCCTAATAAGCCAAAATTCAATATAAGAAGAACATGTTTGATCTACACTTTTAAATTCGTAAATTCATCATTTTTGAAAAAGTATGACTAGTCTGGCTCGTATAATCATATGATCAGTCTAATGATATGATCAAAATATGATCGTTATAACCAAAGTTTGACCGTATGACCAAAGTCTGATCGTCTCACCAAAGTATCATCCGTTTGACCAAAGTCTAACCGTTTGACCGATTTTAAATTTAAAAAACGTGTTGTATGAGATTATTATTATACCAATTAATACTTTTAAAATGATAAATTCATCAATTTTAAAGAAGTCTGATTATCTGACCAAATTCTGACTGTATGACCAATGTCTGACCGTCTTATCAAAGTGTGACCGGTATGACCATTTTTACACGAAAAATAAAAGTCTAAATTAAGTTTAAACGATTCAAAAAGTTGTACAAGGGTTAATACATTTCATCGTTTTGGTGATCTAATTCTATATATAAAAAAATCTCTTAACATAAGTCATATTTACTCAAAGTGTGACCGGCTGACCAAATTGTGAACGTCTGACCAATATCTGATCAGTACGACTAAAGTCTGACCGATATGACCAGTATGACGTTTTAAGAGCCAAAATTTCTCTGAGGATTTTTATCGAACACTTTCCATGCATTCTCAAATTCTTCAATTTTGGAATGTGAGATCCATAGTAGAGAAATATGTAGAGTGTAAGACGAAAATTGAAAAATTTGTTGTTAGAATCGCCAACGACATCTCTTTGGAGAGAAAAAGAAAAAAAAATAAGTTTTGAATTTTTTTTAAAAAAAGTGAGAGAATAAATTTTTCGAAAGTTTTTTTCACTATATAAAGAATTGCCACGTGTTCAAGTTTTTAAGGGCAAACTAGTCTTTTCGTCATTTTAGTTTTTTTTTTAAAACCCTAAACCTAGAGGGTCATCCCTTGAAGTAAAAATAGATATTTGGGGTTATTTTTGCAATTTTGCCGACCAAGTGAGTCATTTGAGTAAAAAACCCTTTCTGTAGCTCTCCTGCTTTACTTCTGTGGCATGAGTTTTATATACGTTTTTTCATCTCTTTGCTAGAATTATGGCTACAGAATGCAAGTGGAATTGCGATGATTCAAGAAACCGAGCGATGCTTGCTATAATACTCGCCGTTCAGTCTTTCAAGTGGAGTTCTTCTATGTGTTAGTTCACTATTTGGAACTCCAAATGCTAAAGATGGTACCTTTGTGTTGGTAAATGATATTCTTGGTGATTTGGTTGGTTCGTCTGTTCAAAGACAGTTGAATCCGTGTGAGTTTTCTTCGATCATTAGTTTCAGTAAGTATGCATTGTTTTTTGGGTGGGAGAACAGGTCAAGGAGATGCTGGAAACCGTACGTACAGGAGAAACGGCTCTTCAGCTACATATTCGACAGCCATATCCGGGTGAAAGTCACGACCCATGCTCTCCGTTGCATAGACAAAGCCGGTGGGATAGACGAGTACTTGCTGAAAACGCCGTACCGTAAGATGGACACAGAGATGGGTCTGAAGTGGAAAGCCAAGGTGGAGAAGATGTACGAGGAGCTCGGTCAGATGGAGGCGGTTTTCTTCACTCCAGAGGACGAAGCCAAGTTCGAACAGGGGTTCAAAGACTTGAAGCTGGCCAAGAAGGAGGCTCGTGGGGAAGCCAGGAGGAAGATGTACGGACGGAGAGGCGGGCGAGAGAAAGAAACAGATGGGAATTCTCTGGAAGAAGGGTCAGGATCAAACCAAGATGATCACGGCTGGCTAGCAGCTGATGCCTAAGTGTTCTTTCTTTTTTGGAGTTATTTAGTTTAGATTCGGAAACAAAACACTTCAGAACTCTTGTTTCTTTTGAGTTATCCTTAAAGATCCCATGCCATGGTAAAGCTTAGAAGAATGGTCTAGAGAGTGATAAGGGACAATAGAACGGTCTAAAAAGTGTCTCAATTTTGGTCGGAAGTACTCTGAAACCATCCAAAAAATATCGGATTTTAGGTCTAAATTTGTAGATCTGAAGTTTTCGTGCCAAGTTGAAATCGGGTTTCGAACCAATCCCAAAATCTATTAAACTTTTAAAAAATTGTCCTTTTTGACGGCTAGCTTGGATGCTTGGATCTGGGTTTGTTTTGAACTGTTTGTTAGCTTCGAAAATGTGGCTGATTAAGATTCTATTCGGTGTGTATCCAATTCAGTGCCTTGATTACCTTTCTGGGTCGTGTTTAGTCCCCCAGCTTCTGGGGCATGACGTCATTTCTGTAGCTCCCCTGCTTTACTTCTGTGGCATGAGTTTTATATACGTTTTTTCATCTCTTTGCTAGAATTATGGCTACAGAAAGCAAGTGGGAATCTCTTTGCTAGAATTATGGCTACAGAATGCAAGTGGAATTGCGATGATTCAAGAAACCGAGCGATGCTTGCTATAATACTCGCCGTTCAGTCTTTCAAGTGGAGTTCTTCTATGTGTTAGTTCACTATTTGGAACTCCAAATGCTAAAGATGGTACCTTTGTGTTGGTAAATGATATTCTTGGTGATTTGGTTGGTTCGTCTGTTCAAAGACAGTTGAATCCGTGTGAGTTTTCTTCGATCATTAGTTTCAGTAAGTATGCATTGTTTTTTGGGTGGGAGAACAGGTCAAGGAGATGCTGGAAACCGTACGTACAGGAGAAACGGCTCTTCAGCTACATATTCGACAGCCATATCCGGGTGAAAGTCACGACCCATGCTCTCCGTTGCATAGACAAAGCCGGTGGGATAGACGAGTACTTCCTGAAAACGCCGTACCGTAATATGGACACAGAGATGGGTCTGAAGTGGAAAGCCAAGGTGGAGAAGATGTACGAGGAGCTCGGTCAGATGGAGGCTGTATTCTTCACTCCAGAGGACGAAGCCAAGTTTGACCAGGGGTTCAAAGACGAAGGTGGCCAAGAAGGAGGCTCGTCAGGAAGCCAGGAGGAAGATGTACGGACGGAGAGGCGGGCGAGAGAAAGAAACAGATGGGAATTCTCTGGAAGAAGGGTCAGGATCAAACCAAGATGATCACGGCTGGCTAGCAGCTGATGCCTAAATGTTCTTTCTTTTTTGGAGTTATTTAGTTTAGATTCGGAAACAAAACACTTCAGAACTCTTGTTTCTTTTGAGTTATCTTTAAAGATCCCATGCCATAGTAAAGCTTAGAAGAATGGTATAGAGAGTGATAAGAGATAATAGAACGGTCTAAAGAGTGTCTCAATTTTGGTCGGAAGTACTCTGAAAGTTTGAAACCACCCAAAAAATATCGGATTTTAGGTCTAAATTTGTAGATCTGAAGTTTTCGTGCCAAGTTGAAATCGGGTTTCGAACCAATCCCAAAATCTATTAAACTTTTAAAAAATATATACAATTTCTTTTTATCATTATATAAAGAATGTATTAAACGGGTTGGGCCATTTCGATTTAGTCCGATCGGACTTTGGACTTGATTCTTGATTTTATAAACCCGAAAAATTTGGACCGACACGAATCCAAACTCAAAACACTAAAAGCTATACGAACTCGGACCAAACTGACCCGTTTTACATCCATCCCTAGATTGTGTATCTATACATATAGAGTATACATTTCATATAATTAGATATATACCAAAGGATGAGACAAAGTTGATTAACTGTGCGTTATTACTGATTAGGATTAATAGAAAGCATAAGCAGTCAATTAAATAAACAACATCACCAATAACCTTTTTGCAAACTTTATCTCTCTAACCTCCCCTGCCCTAATCTCTTCTCTCTTATTCCCACCAAACTCGAAAGAACACAGAGAAAATGGTCATTGATGGTCATCGTCTTCCTCTTCTTGCAAACTGCTCAGACAAAAACAGCTCTGAGTCTGAGACATCATATCACTCCTCTTCTTCTTCTTCTCCTCCTCCTCCTGCAACTTGGGTCGATCATCGTCGCCGTCACTGTCATCGTCTTCTTCATGATCATCGCCGTCGGATTCTTGGAGGGTAAGTAAAGGCATGGAATTAGGGTTCTTCCAAGCGTAGAACTGCGACGATCTTCTGCTCCTCCGACTAAGCTTGTTTGCAATCAGCAATCTTCTCTTCTTGTTGAACGGATTCTCCACTTTCTCCAGATCCTTCGCGTTGCTCGCTTCCATTAGATTCCCGAACGATTTCGATTTCCCCATGTAATGATTCGACAATCCTCGCCTGAATCCGACAGATGATGGAAACAAAACAGATGAATCGTCGAGTTCCAAAAAAACCAAACATGCAAAGGAATTTTCAACTCTCGGTTTCAATGATCTAAACTAATAAACTAGACAATATTGCGAAAACCCAGATCAATTAATAAAATTAATTCCAAGAAAATTATGTATGATCCATTTACCTCTCTAAATTTTGCAGAAAGCGAGAAAGAAAAATGGAAACTTTGTTTTTTTTAGTAATTGCACGGATGAAAGGAGCGTACTTTATTGGCAGAGAATCCTCCAGAGCGGTGAAGGAACCCAATCCTCCTTGCGATGAAACGGCGTCGTCTTCCTCCTCGTTCTCGCTGCACTCTCCCGGAGTTCCGATCGATGATGAACTCTCCGACGATTTCTCCGGCGACTCCTCGACACGCCGTCTCAACCCGATCCGGGCCCCATCCCGAACGGATTCCTCCGCCATGAACAGAGCCGCCTTATCCTGCGCCGCGACGCCGCTCCTTCCTCTAACGTACGCCGCTCCGATCCCAAACGTCGGACCCACCAAAACCTCCATCTTCTCCGGCGGATCAACTCCGACTCCTTCGTCAGAGAACAAAGTTTCCGCTGACCTTCGGCTAACCGAAACCTCGATCTCTACTTTGTTTCCACCAGTCGGATTGTCATCAACCGGCGATTTGCCCGTCTCTTCGTTTTCACCGTTCTCCCTCTGGGTCCGCAGGTTAAGAGATTTCTCTCTTGAAACAGACAAAGGAGATGAAAAAAATATTCACAGGAGAAAAGGAAATGAAAACCAGAGAAGATGGGCAGACACCGGCAAAGAAGAACGGAATAAGATAAGAGGAAGGACGTGGATAATATTTATAATAAATAAATGGTATATATATAGGTTTACTTACGGACTACTACGTGTATGTTTGTATGCATGTATGTATACGCACATGTTCTCAATATAGCCAGTGCTCGTCCGTTGACTACTGACGGAGACACTAACGTTTCACACGTTCTTGATGACGTGTCGATGGCTGAACGTTTTGGGACTGTCTCCGTTAACTCTCCGTTTTGTCCTCGTTACCGAAACTTCCGTGGTCGTTGTCACAAGGAATCTCGACCTTATCCATTCTCCACTAATCGTATTAATGTCTGATTTATTTATTTTTTCGCACGTTTTTTGCGGAATAAAGAGAAATATATTTGTCTGTCTTAAAATGAGTAGTTTTCACATTTCAAAAAGTATACAAAATATTATACAATCAAAGTTACATGCATTTATCTTCCTTTATTAGAAATAAATGTGCAGTTATATCTAATAAATTATTTGAAAATCTTAACACTATATTTTTAAAAATCTTCAAAACTAAACTTCTACTGATCATTTAAAATTTTCATTTTTAGAAAAAAATTATTTTTCAAAATATCTATTAAAAATCCGGATGATCTATATATTCAAATAAATATTTATCTTTATAAAAGCGTTAGAAAATCTGTTATATTTTTCGATTCATTTATTTCAACTCGAATTTGTAAAACTATATTTATAATAAATATTAATACAATTAATCTATTTTAAATTGAATTAAAAATTGATAAATTAAGTAATTATAAGTTTTTGAAATTTTTTATAAATTAAAATTTTATTTTATTATATGAATGTTGATATTTTAAATTTTTTTTTAACTTTCAATATTATTGATTTTTTTTTTATCATAATAAGTCTGAAAATATTTAAAATTTGAATACATATTTTTTAAAAACTGTTCTTTTTTTTAATTTAACATATCTGGATCAATATTTATAAAACATAAATTCCAAAATTATATAAACTCTTTGCGAATGATTCAAAGTAATACTAGGTTACGCATCACCCACAAAACTTGTTTTATATAATTATCCTAAATTGTGATCATAATATTATTAATTAAATATTCTGCATAACTATTGTTTTTAGATTAATTATTAGCTTTCTTCAATTTGTTTTTTATTTTTATTTTTGTGCGTACAAGAATTTTGACTGGTCTTGGACGAGAATATGTTGAGTGATTAGTGGATATTAATTAGTAGATCGAGAGTTGTTATTATATTTCATAAAAACCCGAATATTCTATATGCATAACCAATTGTTATAATTTTTTGTATCTCTTGACATTTTTTTTATAATAAAAGATAGTATTATTTCGATTGAATAATGCATTATGTTTTGGGAAAAAATCGTTTTGTATGATCTTTTAAAACATTATCAATCTATCATTTTGCTCTTGACGATTTGTTTATAGATTTGCTCGGATCTTATATCTTTACAATTTTTTAATCATTTGTTGTAACACAACCATATTTAAATAAACGAGACCAATGAATAATTAATTGTGGGTTAGTTTATAATAATATCATATCATCATCATTAAGTGTTCTAATCAAATGTGCAATACATAATTGTTTCGTGTGTATATATATATATATTGTAACATTATAAAAGCCGACAGGGCAGGCAGAGCCTAACCTTATCTCTCACCTTTGGATTATAAAAAATGAAACAAAAATGATTTTATTAAAATGTAGCTAAATCGAGTCCAGTGTTCCGAGGGCATCTTCTTCCTTTTGCTTTTTCCTTTTTACATTATCTTTCCTGTAGGAACCTACATATATCTAATTATTATTTTTCCCTTTTTTTTAAACAATTCTTAGAAATATCGATATTTGTTCAGTAATAATTACGATTACTCTACATTTCTGATTTTGACTTGTATTTTTATTTTTTTATTTTTTACAAAAAAATAAATAGATCTATTCAACCGTATTCTATATACTTCAATTGTTAATCCTTATCAATTGTTTATTTTAAAATTATTTTATATTTAAATTTTAGTTATTTTTGTTGGTGAACAAAGTGAGCAAAGGGAGATCGACGAAGACAACGTAATGATGCATGGTGGACAGCAACGTAACGGCAACACGTAAATAAGGCAAGGAGACAATTACCAAGGAGACAGGTACAAATTTGATACTCTTCCTTTTATTTGTATATAAAATATTGCATTGCCATATGTCGATACAATGTAGAATATATATCACTTGTAAATGTATGCAATATATACGAGAATATACACAGCAACCCTTTTTTTCTATTCTTCGTCTTTATCGTCTTTTCTCTTTCAGATGTATTGATCTGATTCCTCTGTTCTTACTCTGCATTATTCCATCGGTTGAATCATTCTCTTTATGGTAATAGAGCACCAAAATCTTTGATCCCTCTTGATTTCACATCTCTTTTCGTTTCAAATCCTCTTTGCTACCCTCCATTGACAGCCATGGAAACCACACCGAAACTTATCCCGATCACCTTGACCGGTGAAAATTATTTCTATTGGATCAAGGCTACAATGGCGGCTCTCAATAGCAAGGGTTTATGGATGCATATTTCGCTTGAAAAAAAGGTGTCTCCCAGTGGCCATCGAAGGAGAAACCCCCGAGCAACAACATCTCCAAAGAAACGGACAAACTGTGTCCGATTTTAGCAAATGGAAACAGAAGGACAGTCAGGCATTGGTGATTTTGCAAGGCTCTTCGGATGTGCACCTCCTCCAATCTTTCATCTCTCAAGACACAGCAAAGTCCCTTTGGAAGGCACTTCAAAAAGTTTACGGTAATCTCTCGAACGTTAGTCGTATTTTTGGACTAAAAATTCAAGGGGAGTTTTGTGCCATTTGGGCTGAACTTAAAGAGGTTCGACCAACCTCGCTGGATCCGCAAACAATAATGAAAAGTGTTGAGGAGGACAAGGTTTTCTCCATACTTTCCACCCTCAATGTTTCGTACAACGACATGATATACCATGTCCTCCGTCAATCCAGGCTTCCAACATTCGAGGAGTTGTGCATGATCATCAAGAGAGAGGAGACTGGTCAAAATTATTTTTCTGGCCCTCCAGAAATTGCTCACTACGTTAACAAACCTTCAAGCTCTGCTGCCCCTTCCCGCGATCGTAATCTGTACTGCTGCGACTACTGCAAACGACAAGGTCATAGTAAGGAGCGATGATGGATCCTTCACCCACATTTGAAGCCTGCTCGATACAAGGATACTCCTCGCAAATGCATGGCTATGACGACCATTGGTGAATCTGAAATCAGCTTGACTAATGTCGAGCTCAAGGGACTGAAACATCTCTTACAATCTATCAACAAAGATATCGGTAATTTTTCACACAAATCTTCCATTGTTCTTGATTCGGGTGCTACCACCCATATGTTTTGTGATGAAACTTTGTTTCAAAATATCATTCCAAGCCAAGGCGTTGTGACTATTGCCAATGGTAATTAAGAGTGTTCCAATCAAAGGGTCCGGTAAGATCAAATTGTTTAGCCGAGATATCTCGACATTATATCTCCCTGACTTTCATACAAATCTTCTCTCTATACCTAAAAACCACGGAATGAACCGAACTGGTTATCCGGGCGGACCGGGACCAGATAGGTCATACCGGAGGTACAATTTGGTAATAGAAATGGAAAGACTAAAAAAATATATATAAATAAATATAAAAGACTAGGCAAGCGAAAATGCATGTGTAGTAAATAAACTATATAAATGTGTGTGACTGGGGTAGCTGGCATGACGTACGTTAATTCGAAAGGATTCAGATTAACATTTAGCGCGTGATTGTAGAAAGGGACGTTTGTGATTGAATGCAGATGCTTGCGAGATTGCGTCCCATTCATGGGCCATCCGATCCGGGTCGTACGTCACTCATATGGGATATGATTGTGAATGTGGCGATGACATAATCGCGCCAACGTCTGAAGATAGGACGATTATGGGCACCCCGATGACTTGCGTAGATAGACGATTGTAGTCGGTACTATTGCGTGACGAGGAACATACGGTTCTTGGAATTGCGCCAACGTTTCCGCTAGCGACGGAGCAGATCCCGAGATATGAGTATCCCGAGGATGAGGCATTACACATACCTGAGATTCGGGTAGATTGGGGTCTCCCGAGGAGGTGGTACGAACTTACTTTGCTAGATTCGGGCACGAACCTGACAAGTATTTCCGCGGCGGATGGTCGGCGAGGGGGTGTTACAGCGATTGGCTCTCCCGTTATAGTTGATGGCATTGGTTGTAGCCGACGTCTAGTGAGCTCCGGTATTGAGAGGTGATATCAATGCCGGAGTGGGGTGACACACCTAGTATCGAGAGGTGACATCGATGCTAGGGTGGGTGATGTGTTCGAGCGGAGAAAAATATATATATTTATGCCGGATCCTGGTGGTTGTGGAGTAGATGGATTCCGAGGAGAGAGGTGGTTGTGCTACGCACATGGGGAGTACCTTACCTACGCATGGTGCGCGTAGAGACGATTTGACGGACTATGTCTTGCAACCTGTCGTACGGACTTGATTGTGATTGCTGATATGCTTGTCATTGATTCCATGTTTTCGATTCCTATTTATTAGAAAATTAATATATATATATATATATGTATGTATGTATGTATGTATGTATGTATGTATGTATGTATGTATGTATGTATGTATGTATGTATGTGCTTTCCCTGGTTCCATGATAATAGAACTCTGGGTTACCCCCGAGTTCACTCTCTAAACAATTAGCTTAGGACGTTGTTACACAACGTTTCAGGTCGTGAGCAGCAGTAGTCGAGGAGCGGACATCGGAGACCTGGGCAGCTTATCACCACTGATCATGTATAATTATTTAATATGATATGGTTATTCTTTTGGGAAACGGTTTTGATATTATATCAGTGGTAGACTTTCATGGTTTGTAATAATGTTATACTACCACCCAACTATGTATAATTATAATTGAGAATAATGTATCATATATATATGTATGAATG